TTTGTTCAATCAACAAACAACATTCTAAACAAGTATAGGAAGTGACTTTCTAGCTTAAGAATGCAAAAATGGGCAGCATCAAATAAAAAGAAAGAAAAAATGTCAGTCCATTTAATCAAAAAACAATGTTGGGTGTATTATAAAACAAACAAAAAATGCCTTTGTCTAACACAACCTCCAGTTGATAATCAAAATTCCAAAAATTCAATTTTCAAGTATTTGTGTGAAGAGGAGAGAGTAGAAATGTGGGTAGGGGAGAACAGAATGGCAAGAAAAAGGAAATAAAAGATAAAATTATTGGTAAAAAGAGAAACTTTTGAATCCCATTTCACTGGCCTAAGATCCTGTTTTGCAAGCCAAGTTATCTATTACTTGTAATCTCATTATCCAATATATGTACTGAACTTGAAATTTTAGTATAAGTATAAAAAAAACAAAAACAAATAAAATTTAAATATATTCAGTGGTCTTGGAGTTATGATAAAAATAATGATAAATAAGAAGTCCCCAAAAACAGTTTTTGAAAAGCAGGTGAAGAAAATATATACATGAATGCTGAGAAAGATACATTGGTGATGACATGCTGTTATGTTGTTACCACTGGAAATGCTCTACCTCTAGCTATGGTGTCTTCCTGTATAAATTTTAAGCAGCATGTTACATTGTAAACTTTCAGTAATACTTGCCAAAGCCACCTGTTCAGGCTGAATAACATCTTAGCTATTTATTCAAGTTACGAAACAATGCTTAATTTCTTTGTAGTGCTATTACAGGCAAGCCAGTTCCAGGTGAAGTTCAACATTCACAAGTAGCAAGGCTGATCCATCTGCACCTGGAGAAGTTATAGAGTAAGTTCTAACTTCAACTGCCAAAGAAATTTCACTGAAACCTCAAACAGAAATTTCAGACATTCACCAAAAGCTTTTCTATTGAAAATACTGATCAACCTCTAACTCATAAAAGAACTTACAGCCTTCTGAATTGAATATAGTCCCCAAGAAAACACAAAACAAAAAACTTTTTGCACAGTTAGTGAAAGATGGATATTTTGAGTTATCAGGTATTTTTAACAGTTACTGTGACATGCACAGACACATATGGCAACCCTAAAAAAAAAAAAAAAAAAACAGAAGAGGAGTACCTCAGCTGGTGAAATTTCAGAGGAGGAGAATAAGTTTTGCACTGGAAAGTTTTCAAGCAAAAAGATATGAAAGAAAATTATGAGATAAGGAAAAATGTCTGGGAAATTTGTTTTACCATACAACCTTGATGTGTTTTAATTTTGAGAAATGTGTGAAAGTGATTCTGCTCAAAATAATATTCTTTTGAACAAACAAAAACATGTAAAAATGTCTAACTTGTCATTTGGAGATAATTTCAGCCACATAAACATTTGCTAAGATCTTTAAAAATATCAAGTAATACTTATGGTTTAAACATCAAAAGCTGGAGGAATATTGGAAACCAACAGGCCTAAAAATTGTTATAAAAACAAGATAAATTGCCCATTGTGGTTCAGAATCAGAGGTGTTTAAAAAAATAGCATTTAACATCTATCTTTTGTCTCCCATAAGCTCATGGGAGAAAAAAAGTAGATCTGAAATGCTATTTCTTTTCACACCTTTGATTTCAAGTTTTAATGGACAAATTAATAAGAATGTAGAAATAAACAAAAACGGCAAAAAAAGAAAAAAAAAGAACCTGCAATTAACTTGTTTTCATAACAATCAGGTAATAATGTTTCACTGTTATTGAAATGCAGTGTTTCACAGTATCTCATCAGTAGGGCACAGAGAAAAGTATTGTTGTATTTAATTAATTTATCAGTTTGTATTAGGAATATAACAAGTCTGTCATCAAGCAAGATAGAGGCAGATCCAATGTTTCATCATACAATAAGGAAATGAAAATATCTCAGTAAATGCAGTTTTAGCCTTAGCTGCACTAATGAGAGTCCATCGTTTTAAGCACATTTTCCTAAACTATAGATCCATCATGATTTTGCTGGTTACAGGAAACTTAATAATGTGAGTAAAACAATAAAATGTAAAACATATTATCAATATATTGCAATCAATCCCACTAATTACTGTTGAGGTCCTCTGTATATTCTACATAGCAAATGATTTATTTCATTCAATTGTTTTGACCAGTTATTTACACTGAACAGTACAAAAATAACTCAATGATTTGAGAGTTAATAAGTAA